CACGATGGGTAACACACGGCCTAAGCGCCAACTCTGCAAATTCGTGTGGTCCACCTGCAGTGTTTTTGAGACAGATGTACAAGAAACGCTGGCATGTGCTATACTGGGTCGGGTCCCACTAACCAAACATGAATATACCAAAGGTCAATTGATACAGAAGCAACTAAACACACTGCCAAAGTAGAGTGGGCATGTGGATGGCCTGGTCAGACATAATTCATTGAGAATACGTATGTGCGCGATTTGATTTGGACGTCTAATCGCAGTTAGTAAACCTGGGATGAGTGGTATGATTAGATTGCAGGTCAGGCTTCAATCACCGATAATCAGGACGTTGCTAAAGGGAAACGGTAGGGGTAATTTCTAGCCGTCACCCGACAGAAGGATAATGATGGCATAAACGCTACTATGCGTGTTCGTGATGGCCGTGGGACCCTAAACTTCTAGGTCACCAACCTGTTAAAGGCGCAATCCACGCAATAGAAATAACAAGTTGAACTGGAATGACAACTATCCCTGATAAACTAACAGCCGACTCCAGAGGCGACATACTAATACGTCAATGTTGGGATTTCAATAGGCGATCGGATGCCCGTGGTAAACATTGAGGGAAATACGTTTTCACCTATAAACTTGCCCAACCTGACCGTAGCTCCACAAAGCTAAGTCCGATTAAGAAATTAGGTCAGAAGCAATGTTTTTACAAGAAAAATCAACTAAAGGACATGGTGCATGAAATCATTTGTGAGAATGATGATAAGCTCATTCACTTTCAGGCGTGTAAATTGTTATAATTTGAGGGAACGCCGCCTCTGTTATGATTGCGTAATTGCCTGATAAGATTGTCGCTGGCACGGTTGGAGCATGCCTACGATAACGGCTCGTAACGCTGGCCAATCGAACGGAGTTGCGCTGACCTGATGACGTTAGCTTAGCCGGTGAGACGGAAATTGAGCGAGCGTGTGAACGATCCTAGCCGCACGTGTTCGGATAGATGCTGAGCCCTCGGAACGGATGCACACGAGAGGGGGTTACGATAGACGCGCGCTAATGACTTAGACGCGAAGGCTGGCCAGCTAACGACTCACACGCAATCACGTGACCCGACCGACTCCCAAGTAAGGCGAAGAGGAAAGAAAAGACAGGCGGTCCTCTGTAGGCTCTTTTACGACCAACAAAGGGCGAATCACAGCCAATGCTATGGGTCATTAAGTTAGGGAAAACAGTCACCACGAAGAGGTGGTACTTTGTAAATGACCATTGTCAAAAGGTGCGTAGTTGGGCCGCGTCTCGGAGTGGCTGATCACTGCTACGTTGTGGGGAGGAATTGGACCCCGCTTCCCACAGCCATTCTGCCGGGGTTTCTGGCGCGTTTTTGCGGGGATTTTTGACGGGCCCGCAACATAAATTAAAAGTCGGGAGAAACGCTGCAACAATCAATCCAGCTAGCCAACTGTGCTAAACATTATCGTATAGGTCAACATAATCCACTCAGGACTCGGAGACACCACTCTAAGCATGAGTGGGAATAAATCAGCAACAAGCGGAGTTGAGTGGGCAGAAATCCCAAGCCCCGATAAACTCTTATCAATAGAGTTGGAAGACAGTAGTGAGCCACCTTACATAAACGAACAGAGCCACCATCTCAGGTGGGAGTTCAGTGATGTCGGCCCCTCTATCGGTTGTACATTGAAGGTGTGATACAAGGATGTAATCCGGGAGATCACTAAAAACGCAACCAATGGGCAACTAACAATCCGAGAAAAGGCAAACGCGGTAAGATCGTGAGAAGAATTGAGGAAGATACGAAAACCAATAAGCCGGATAAGCTCACCAAAGTTGTTCCTTCGGTCGGGAGGATGCCCTTGGCAAGGTACGTCGGCCAAAATCGACGAATGTCCCAACTGGACTTGGTCACACGAAGGATGGATGGGACCCTTTGGTTCCATTCACTGTATGGCTTTGTATTGCGTGAACTTGGTGGGACAGAAGATAATGCGCATAGTAGCTGCCAAGCACTATATGCGAACACGAATAGTAACAAAAGGTAGACAAGGGATGGGGAGGACCGATTCGAAAGCCGGCGTAACAGTGTGATGAAATGAATGATAAATGAACCAAAGAGGCGTTTCAAAGAACGGAACAAGTGCATTCATGAAGTCTCCAGAGTTGGAATACTCCGCATGCTACAGACAACTGATCACAGGAGCTGAAACTAGAAAGATAAGAAAGACGATTAGCTAATCGAAGACAGAATGTTGAATTGGAAAAGCAAATGTTTCGCAGGAATTATATATGACTGCCAATATCGCGTGGCAATACAAACGGAAAAGTGGAGTGACAAACCAGATCAAAAACACCGCAAGTATGAGGGAGTGAAGTTGCAGACCAACAGTGTGCACTAAGTCTCCGGTGTCGACTGCATGGACAACTGCAAGATTACCATGCACCTTCAGTTTTGGTGAGTGAGCTTGAATACCCTAGTCAAAGAAGAGAAAATGAAGAAATCAGAAGGCATTTAACAGTTGGAAAGAGAAAGCGAATAACAATAACGAAAGAAGATGCTATAATTCACGCCAACAGGTAAACCATATAAATATAACCATCTCACAGCGTTGAACTGCGGTTGTCACAGTCTGATGCGGTCATGATTACGAAAATCGGAAGCCATGGTGGAAAGGAACGAAAGCACATAAACAAAAATACAATACAAAAGAGTTTATGACAAGTTATGATAATTGTGCGGAAAAGTCAACAAAGAGAAGAAACTGACAAAGTGCGGGAGCCCCAATTACTTCGGGATTGCACTGTGTACATTAAAATTTACCGACAATAATGTGGCCGAATATCAAACGCAGAGAGTAAGCAAGTCTTAGGTTTGGCTTCGTAACGAAATTTTGTTAATTCCCTGACTATCATTTATGAAACATAACCCAATACAGAATGGGATGCAAAAAGAGCGCATACCAGGGCAACTTGTTAGCAGACGTGTGAAGTAAGCAGTTCAAGACATAAAGGCTGAGCAATGCAAAGTTTCTACTTGCAGACAACAGACCAAGTTAATAGGTAGCACGAGGTATGCGTAGAATTAAGACCTGAGAAGTGTAACGAAGCGCCGTAAATTGTAAAATTAAGGGAATAGGGTTGAAAAGATTGCTGAGGAGAACCATAATCAATTTTGATCCGCTTGTGTCTACCCCACAATGTCGAAAATCCAGCAGCAAGAGAGACGACCGACACAATGAGGAACTTAAGCCAAGGCGCATGAAAACAGATGGTGGGGAGTTAGCTAAGGGACACGGTATTTCGTCTGGGCGATAACAGTGAGAGCAAGAGAACGTGTGAAATGAGATTTGAAAAGAACAGTTCGATATAGAGCATATAAAGCATGGATAGAACCGTGCTCACGAATGGGAATGCATCACGCGTAAGACAAATAAGCTCGACCGGGTTGGAGACAGCTGAAGCGTAAACAGTATAAAGATGATCATCATGTGAACGACTTCGGATACTGCTCTCGCAGTGCAAAGACCCAAGGATCTTGTAACCAGTGAGAGACGCAAGGTTGCAATAGAATAACATAAGTTCACTCACGAGAACATTAGAATGCGCTGAAAATACGTAAAAACTGTCTTAGTGGGTTGTTATTTGACAAGTGAGGAGAGCCGTGCAGATACGCATGAAAGCCATGCCTGGATATGTGATAAACGAACAATGTTCGTCATACGACAGTTAATTCCAAGATGTGAACAAAGGAAAAAACGAGCAATGTCCAGAAAAGTGGAAAAAGTAAAGAATCGATAAAACGGGCTAGCACGTGATCGTGAAGGCGCTCGGTCAATAACAGAAAGCAGGTTTGCATGCAGTTAGCTGGTATAAACGAAGTTTCTAGGCCGAAGTGGACATACAGCCAGAAACGAATGAAGGATAAATAAGATATAGGAATTGAGAAGAAAAGTGCAGGAGAATAAAAGAGGAAACGCAACGAACCGTCGAAATAAGCGGACGTCTGAGGAGTTTACAGGGCTAAAAGCCTGACCCAAAGCATTGAAAATACGGACGTTCGTCGGTCGCTCAAAAGCAGACAAACGTTAGAATCATAAGAAATGCAAAAACTTTTCCCAGGGTGACCAGTATGGTGTAAACAACAATTTGTTCAAGTACAAAAAAGGAAAACAACACAGTCGTGACACCTGGTTCGACTCAAAAGATGCGAGTGTGTCAAATTGTGTGAGGGCACATTGAACGATTGGGATGCTATACCTAAAGCTAAGGTAAACACATTGCATTTTCTGCTCATGATATTTAATATCTCCGTTCAATCGATAAAAGTTAGCCTGCACAGATATAACTCAATACGAGACTTCTCAGGTGTTCAAACCACAACGGGCGTGAGAGCAGGAACAGTATGCACAATGCTTCCCCTGTGTGTGGTGGGGCCTATTAAGTCGGCTGACGCTTTTCGCTGAACGCCATATTCACATTACCTACTGTGGATAAAGCAGTTTTGCAAGAATATTTTGACGACTTGTTTGGATAAACTATTTCAAGGTCATCGGGATCGTCCTAATCTGTCCATATTTTGAATGCCAAGATCGGGATACAGTGCGTGCATCGTGATTTGTTGCTTTTGGCCACGAAATTGCAATTGGAACCAATTAGGAAAAAACAACATTTCAGTGGAACTGTCGTGTCGATTGGACACAAATACCGAGGATGCTTTTCAGCAATGAGCAATCGTTGGCTGACAACAGTGTAGCCTTTTGTTTATGCTTTCGTAAAATGTCATATTTTTAATGGTGTCATTCTAGTCTTTTTCCGGTTGTTAACGTAAAATGCTGAAAATACACCCAATCGGGCGCATAAATCGCATCTTGACGGTCTAATACAAACGCAAGCAAGATAATCTCTGAAAACAACTCAGCTGAGAAGGCAAACTAGCAATGCTCATTAAAGAGAACGTCTGAGGAACCAGTAAAAAAGAAAATAGACCGTTTTCCTCAGAAACTGTATTTGCGGGATTTTGCAACACGTCTTCAACAACAAACCGACAATACCATTGCACCGAAAGACGGGAAAATATTGGAAAACAGTGAAGATTACATGGAACAAGGTGGTAAACAAATAAGAGGCTGATAAAAACTCGTGCAAAACTAGGAAAGTAACTCATTGACGTTTCTCCACTGGTATGATACGAATAAGGTAAGATCAGCAACCGGGTCATCCATTCACAACACTCGCTACGATGACGAGCTAGCCAAATAGGAAATAACTTGTGAACCGACCATTAGGAATCGGCATCATCATCATCATCGTAAGTGCCAGATTCGCATAGCATTTGACGCATCCTCAGTCCCTAGAAGTAGGAAGAAGACGAAGGAATAAAATTACAAAAATTTCAAGTGGTTCCGTAACGATTGAGCATAAGCAAACAGTCAGTACAAATTCAGAGAGCACTAGACGATCAATCCCTCATATCCAGCCTCAGCACCATTACGTATTTCTGTCAAATCTTTAACGTGACAAATCCGTAGCCATGCAACTTGCCTGACAAAGAGAATTAGCAATGAACGATATGTGAAAAACAATCCCAATCTCCGCTTAACGTTTTGCAGCGGGTTCTTTCTAATTTATGACAAAATTCTAGACAACCTCATCAAGTTTACAGTTGATCTGTGTGACTACACCATCGCAAAAGCAACAAAAGGTGTCTCTTGACATAATGATCCCTTCATTATATCCTTCAAGAAAAGAGTACATCTGGATTTGTAAGATGCGTTGTCCATTCTTATCAGTTACTGCCTCTTCGAAACACAACGCAAGACCATGTCTAAACTATGAACTTAAGAATTCTCACCTTCCGAATTTCTGATAAGTGCTGCAATATAGTGTTTTGCCGTTCTATTCGGCGATCATCTTTTGCGTCATTGTGTGGCGGCATATCCTACAAGAGAAATAGGAAAATGGTAAAAACGGAAAGATCGGATGCAAATCTTGGGTACAGTGTGGCGACAAAACAAACGATTCTTCATCGCGCATCATCATTATTATAGGTGCTAGCTAGAGGTAGGAAACACCTCAGCTATTGTGGAGCGTACCCGAGACGCAACAAAAACACACCAACTGAGTCACTGGTAACGTATGGACATCGCAATAAAAAACAGTTATTTATGTAAGAAATCAGATCGTGTTTAAAAAGGAGGCTAAGCAGGAGGGGGAGGGACAAAGAAGCTCATAAAACAAACACCAATGAGGTTGGCCCATAGCCATATTAACAAGTATATTCAGATAAACCTGTGCATAGTCTTTCGAGCCCCAACCAGGGAGCCGAAAAGTTTCAACCGAGGACAACCTCGAACTCAGGACCTTCCTTCGTCATCTCCTATCAACATCAAGGTCGCGAAAACAACGTACGTCGCGGGATTCGCCTACTAGTGACCGAAAGGACAAGCCGTCTGCCTTGCAACCCGGACGTCACCGATTCGAGTCTACGTACAGAGCAAACGACCTTCGCAGTGTCCTTAGCCCACGTGCGACCGGTGGTGGTTGCGTGGCAGCGAAGCATCGGTACGGAGTACTTCTCATACCTTATTTGTGGGAGCTGATGTGCTGGCATGCGCTACACGTGGCCCAACTATCGTAGTCTGGTTGATGAAATAATAATGTTGAGTCGTTCAATTCCTTTTCTTGTGTCATAAACAAGGCGCCGAACACAGTCATTGCTTACGCGATATTCCCGACAGACATGTGTCAAACTGTGAAGGCACGGGGGTAGAATGTAACTCCTGTTGATCTAATGGTCCAAGTTTTACAACCGTATCGTACGGTCGGACATACAGCTGCATTGCGCACTCTACCCTGCGAAGAGCGATGTCGCACTGGCGCCACAGGTGGCGAATGGCAAAAGCGCCTTGAGCTCCTAGTACACAGTCGGCGACCTAGTCTTCGATTCCACGGGAGCTGATACAACTGCATGGGTAGTTGAATTTCTGAGCAAGTTCTAGCCGATCCCCATCAAGGGTCAGCACAGGAAACGGTCCCTGCCAATGTTGGAGAAGAGCTTTCTCACACTGAGGGTGCAAATCAAAACCTGAAGCGGCTAACAGTCAGTGCTAATCTGTCTGGTTCTGCCTGTCCACGTTTGTGAGTTGTCACAAAGGAGGACAATGTCGTCAGCATACTCCAAGTCAAGATGTCGTTCCCC